ATTTCTAACTGCTTAAAAGAGCTAGCTCTTTAACAGCAAAGAGATGAAAGGAATTCTTAAGGCAGTAAAAAGTACTGGTACAAAATGATTACACATAATATTCCTCTGGATTTTTTTTTAATCCTTCCAGGCAGCTGTTTTCTTTTTCTCTTAGTAAGTCACATGCCTTCATGCTTTTGAGTATAAAAAGATTTTGAACTTCTTTTATTGGCTAGTATGGAGAAGATCACTAAAAACTGTTAATGTGAAAAGTAAAACATACTGAGCTACTTGAACAGTGAGGCCTGGGTCTTGTTTTTTAGAGGAAACACACGCATATGTCATGTTCTCAGAAGGGTAGAAGCATACGCAGCTGACAGGAGCAGAGGTCACGGCTATAGGTGGGTCAGTGATTCTTCATTCTCTTCTCTGTACTTTTCTGTTGTATGGAACACAATGACTATGACTACTTTGGTAATTAGGTAAATCCGACAAAACTATTATTTATGTCATGAAAGAAACACTGGGCCATTTGTCTTCGCTTTGGCAGCCTCTGCCAAGGGAGGACTTCCTCTCGTTCGTGGTGTCTGGATACAAACCAGAAAAGTCAAGCTGTGCACCAAGAAGCACCTGAGATTCTTAAACTGCTGACGCCACTCCAGCGGTGCCAATACTTGCTGCTCACAAGGCATTCACACTTTGGCGCTCGCTCTTCTTAGCTGTACGATACAGTGGCTGCATCACCAGACACCAGAAAGTCCCCAAACAGGAGGTGGGGACCTCAACTTAGCCCGCCTGCTGGGTAGGTTGTAGGTTTGCTACTTCCATCACAGAAAATCATTTTCAAGCCACTTCAGTGACAGACAAAATAGTTTATCAGGCAAAACTGCAAAAGTACACACCCCGAGAGAATAGAATGTAGGCCCTGGAGAGAACGGAGCACTACGGTCTGAAGCTGGGTATATTGTTTATGTGGTCCCTGGTGTCTTCAGGGTGGATGATAATCCTACTGTCGGGTTACCCCCGGCAGGCTCTGTCATAATGCGAAATGCGTGCATGTGTGCGCGTTCTGTGGTACATGATTGAGCCAAGAACCTTTGCACTGAGCTACAGCCCCGGTCTGTTTTTATTTGGAGGCAGGCTCTCATTAAATTGCCCAGGCTGGGCTCAAATTTGCCTCCTCCTGCCTCAGTCTGCTGGAGTGCAGGGACTACGGGCTCACTGCTGCTGCCTCCTAAGACTGCTGCTTCCCTGAGCATGGAGGTCTGCAGGAAGAAGTGTGATTTTCAGGTGCACAATTCACAAGCCTACTGTGCCTTAAGTCCCTTAAGAATTTTTTGGCAGAGGATGGGGGATGGGGTGTTCCTGAAAGGGAAAAAGGCTCGAGTAACTTTGTGTCTAGAAATTGCAGTTTTCTTAAAAAAAAAAAAAAGTTTAACCTTATAATTACGATTTTCCTTGGCTCCTTTCTACCTATCTTTACGTTTTTCTAGCCTACCTCAGTTGGTCTTTATGATGGTTACACTGGCTTCTCAGTTAAAAAAAAAAATCCCAGCTCTGATGCCTTCATATAGAGGACAGTGAAAGAGGGAGACCAGTAAGTGGCCCGCCAGCTCCATTCTGCCTACACCCGCAAATCACTCTGTCACAGGAGCGGCACAAATCCACTCACAGGCTTCCTGCCAGGAAAAATGAAAAGGCATTTGAAGTTCAAACATAAGGCCAGGGTGGGCTCCTATCAACAGATGCTTTTCCTGAACCTGAGATCTAGAAACTCACCCAGCACCCTTTGTTCTGGGCAAGATTTCATAGCTTCTCTGAACCCCCAAAACATCCAGTCACTTAAAAAACAGCTTTGGAGTGGTTGGCCAGGGCTGAGCAATTAGGCATTCGCAATGCCCGCTGCTGTCAAGCGGTCATTAGTTTAATGGAGAACTATTAAAAACACATAAAAATCTCAACCTACAAAAATAAACAAAGCTGCCAAAGCTGGCATCTTAAGTGTAACAGGGCCTGCGCAGAAGCTGAAGAATATCCCTCTAATGTCCCTCTATTCACACATTTAGAATACCTGTGCTGCCTGCCAGGGAGTCCTGGCCTTTAACTCGCTTTTGTTCTGAAGTGCTCATTGTGTATCAAGACCACACGCAATATTAATTCTGGAAAGTGGTTTTGGATCCTGACTAGAAAAAAAAGATGTACAATTTATGAAAACCAGGGGGAAGGCATTCTTCAGACCCTGGTGTTCTGCGCATTCTCTCAACCTTGGCAATATTCACTTGACACAGGCAAGTGAAAGCCACACTGTCAGATTCTCCCTTAGGTGCTCTCCTATTCCTCAAAAGTGCTTTTTGCTATAGAAGAGATGACTCAAAAGTGAATCAAATGAGGGATTCATATTGAGAACTCTACTTTTTCCTTTTCTTTTCTCGGTAGACGTCAGCTACAGCAACTCTGGCTCCCAGGGGAGAAGGGCCAGGTAGGTGCTGCAGCCCAGCTGCTTGATGGCTGTTTTCCACAGTGAGGACAGAGACTGTGTCCACAGCTTTCAAAGGCACGAGTAACAGCCAGGTGTGGTGGTGCAGGCCTGTCGTCCCAGCACTCAGGAGGCTGAGGCAAGAAGGTTGCCAAGAGTTTGAGGCTACACACTGAGTTCAAGGCTAACCTGAACTGCACAGTGAGATCCTGTCTCAAAAAAAACCAAACCTCCAGATGTGGTAGCACATGCCTGTAGTCCCAGCACTGAAGAGGCTGAGGCAGGAGGATCACTGAGAGGTCAAGGCCAGCTTGGCATACACATGGAAACACTGCCTCAAAAACAAAAACGAAAAAACAAAGGCAGGGTGGGTGAGTCAGGAACACAGAGGCAGACAGTTATTGCTTTACCTTTTATTATTACTTAAAAATTAGAGCAGGGCACAGTTTTGATTGAGCTCCCCACAGATAAGATCAAACCAAAGCAGTCACTCATGGTAAGTATAACTTAATCACACTAAACATCTAAGGAAGCGGAGATCCTGAACCAGGACAGGCTTTCGTGAAAACAGGAGATTTCATTCTTCCTAAACCTTACAGAAAGTAACTTGACGCTCACCAATCAGCTTTTTCCTCTTTGTTTCCTTGCTGTCACATTACAAATCCCAGTGCCTTCTGGGAGCACTCGTTCTGTTCTGAAGAAGGCAGGCTGCCCACTCATGCATTGGGAGTATCTGCCACCTAGAACTAGAATTACTGGTCCTAGAACTACAGCCGATCACTCAAGACTGCATCTTTATCCTGCCCTTTTCCCTCTGGAGTGTAAAGATTAACTATTTATTCTTAGGAAAACCTCTTGTCAGCAGCAGACTATTTTTTCCCTGAAAAAGAACCACCAACCAAACCACCAAACCAGGAGAACAACAGAATTCAGAGGGAGCAAATTCCTTTCTCAGGACAACACACCTATAAAAGAGGTGAGTGAATGGAAACATTTGCTTTTGGATAAAACCCCAGGAACACCAAATACCAAAGGTGCCACCTACCCAAAGCACAAAACATCACATTCTCATAAAAAGAACTTGAAAAAATCATACCCTCCAAATTTTAAGACCCAATCCAAAAGTGGGCATCTGAAATGAACAGACATTTCTCAGATGAAGAATTAGAAACGGCAAATAAATATATGAAAAAATGTTCAACCTCACTGGTCATTCATGAAGTGCAAATTAAAACAACACTGAGATTCCAACTCACTCCAGAAAGAATAGCTGCTATCAAGAAATCAATGGGGCTAGGGATTTAGCTCAGTGGTTCTGGCGCCTGCCTCCCAAGCACAAGGACTTGAGTTTGATCCCCGGTACCAAAAAAAAAAAAAAAAAAAAAAAAAAAAAAAAGAAAGAAATCAGTGAATAACAAACGCTTGTGGGGTTGTGGGAGAAAAAGGAAGCCTTCTCCACTGTTGGTAAGGATGTAGACTGGTACAACCATCATAGAAATCAGTGTGGAGATTTCTCAAAAAAACTAAAATTAGAGGTTCTATTATTTGACTCAGCTATTCCTCTTCTTGGTATCTTCCTGAAAGAATTAAAACATCAGACCACAGCAATATATACACTCATGTTTTAGCAGCACAGTGTGTAATAGCTAAATCTTGGAAATAGCCCTAATGCCTGTCAATTGATGAGTGGATAAAGAAAATGTGTTTTTTAAAAATATACAATGGAGTACTATTCTGCATTAAGAAGGATGAGCTTCAGACATTTATAGCTAAATGGATGGACCTTGACATACTCTTAAGTGAAATAAATCAGACACACATGTTTAAATACTGCCTTGTTTCTCTGGTGTGAGAAACCGAAAGTGGAAATGGACTAAAATGTAAAATAAATATTGGGAAACAGAAAATGGTAAGAAGGCTGGGCATGGTGGCCCAGCACTCGAGAGGCTGAGGCAGGAGGATCGCTGTGAGTTTGAGACCAGTTTGGGTTACATAGTGAGTTCCAGGTCAGTCTCAACTACATAGTGAGACCCTGTCTCAAAAGCCAAAAAAAAAAAAAAGAAAAAGAAAATGTTCAAATGGGAAGGGGAACATGGGAGGAGATGGGGAGAAAGGAAGGAAAAAAGGTGAAAATAGAGGGCTGAGGATTTAGCTCAGCGGTTCGGTGGACTGCCTTGCGAGTGCAAGGACCGGAGTTCAATCCCCAGTACCAAAAAAAAAAAAGGTGAAAATGGAAATAAAGCTTTTGTACACAGGGAAGGGAAGGGGTGCTAAGGAAGGGAGGAAATGGGATAAAATAAAATAAAAAACAAACAAAGACTTTACAATTCTCCCAGAGTTACAAACAAAAGCAAACTATAAATAAGAAAGGAACTCAACACCCAGGAAAGACAAAACAGGAAGTTACAAACAAGGTTCTCAGTTCACTATTCTTCCCCAAAGCCAGTGTGGAACACAAGGCCATTCTTCAGGACTGGACTCAGCAGTGCCGACCGTGGCCTGGCGTGACTCCCTCCTCAGGTCAGAGTAACAAGGTTGACTTTACCTTAAGAGCACCACAGAGTTCAACGGTGTCTGCATCATCAACCACAGTAATTCGAAAATTGGGAGTCTGCAGAAGTTCTTTGAAGAGAAGGCCATTCTCCATGACTTTGCTGCCTGTTGAAAGGTTATGAAACAAACAAATTAGTAATGGTCTCTCATCTTAATGATCATACCTAACAGCCCTTAAAAACAGCAACTTTCCTCTTATTACAAAAGTGAATGTGTTTATTGCAAAAAAGTTAGAGCCTACCTAGGAGCAGAAATAGAAAATTAAGCTATCCCATAAATTTATCAGATGATTTTTATAATTTGACATACATACTGAGTTTACTGAATAAATATAATTTTTGAATATAGTTTATTGATGAATAAAGTGGTGGCATGGCTGTAATCCCAGCATTCTGGGAGGCTCAGGTAGGAAGATCACATATTCAAGCCCAGCTTGGGCAATTTAGTGATTTAGTGAAACGGTCTCTTAAAAAAAAAAATATATATAGACATATATACACACACATACACACATATACATATATATGTATATAAAGGGACATAACACATGTGTGCATCTTATAATCTACTTTCTGTTTTCCTACTTTTGCAAGATGGAAATGCAGTCAAAAGTACCTGTTTTTGCTATTGCTATAGTCCCCTTCTTGGGAGACAGTGCCTGGAATGTGCTGAATGCTCAGTGGTTTTCATTTATTTATTATTTTTAAATTTTTTCTTTGTTTTGGAGACCTCTGACTGAAAAGCAAACAGAAACAAAAGTAAAAGCTTATACAGGAAGCCTGACATAAAATCTGCTCAGGCTGGTGGGGTGCAGGTGGGCCTAACCAAACCCACTCTCCCGGCCAGGCTTTCAAGTCAGGACTGTAAGATTCACCAGCCTAGTGCTGCTCCAGAGCCACCGGCTCCACACAGGAATGGCAGGAAGCACACTGAGGACTCCAGCATTGGGCCCTGCCTGCCCCCAGGTAGAAGAGCAGCTATCCGCGAGCTTGGCTGCACTTTACAATCCTTGGGGCATCTTTACAAACACCAGCACCCAGCCCACATCTCAGTCCCATTAAATCACAGTCTCTGGAATAGAGCAGGCATCAGTAGTTTTTCAGGCTCCCCAGTGGCAGGCTTGATCTGGCCACGACCTGGTTAATAAATATGTTAATTCCAAGCTACAGTTTTAGCAGATATAAAACACTGCAGCCCTCAGCACACTGCTCCTTCAGGTGGCTAAAGACCAGACTCAGTCTGTGCCAGTTCTGCCTGGATACAGGCTGTGCCTCCTCGGGCAGACAAAACACATAACAGGATTTTGTAGAAAAGAGATAAGGATACAAAGTACAGCACAACAGCTTCCCTGCACCAAGTTACCTGATAACATCCATACACCTGCTTCTATCACTGTGTGGACCTTAGCTGCAAATATTTGATCTGACCCCTGTATGTGACAGATGTGCCAGACCCCTTCTCAATCCCCCAGAAAACTCTCTATCTGTCCTTTGTTCACCACCGATGGCTTTGTCGCCCTCAGCTGACCTGCACCCAGGTGAATAAAGTCCGTGCCTTGTTGTCTTCCACTAGCCTGCTCAGGTGGTCTCATTCCTCTGCCATTTGATTCCAAGGGAAAGACAACTTTACAAACCTCTGATTTAACCTCCTCTAGCTTCAGCTTCCCATAAATAAAAATAATGTCCTGGGGAAGTACAGTAAAAAATACAGGATGGTTGTGAAGTTAAATAAGAATCACATAGAAAAGGTCTTTGGATCATAACAACTCTCACAGATCCCCAAGATAGCACGGAGTCAGACGACATCTGCATGCTTGTGATTATGATTTTCTGCACTGACAGGCAGGGAAACTAAGGCCCAGGGGTTTTGGTAACTTCCTGTGGCCACACAGCTAGGAAGCTGAGCCCAAGTTTGAACCTGTATGTTGCTGTAACTCTGGGGCCAAGTTCTTGACTCTGTGCCAGGCTACCTCTTGACTGTGGGGAGAGATGACAGCGACAAAGATCCAGGGATATGCAGATACGCACTTCCGATGGCGGGACAAGACTGTGTCAACAGTTAAAATTACAGCCAGGAGTAAGAGAGTCAATGTCAAAATTGGGCTGGGCTTGTAGCTCAGCAGTAGGGCACTTGCCTACCAGGCCCTGGGTGAGCTCCCAGGACCCACAGAGTCAGCCCAGCAGAGGTGAAATGTAGATGAAATAAGGCCAGCCATTTCTAGATGAAATAAGAGCCGACCATTTCTGATGATGGATACATGAAGTTTGTGACACGATCTTAACCCCTTTGGTTCTTTAAAATGTACCATAATAAAACATTTAAATATCCATGCCCAATAAGCAGAAACTCATTTTCTGTTCTCAAGACATTACCATTATCTTATTCAGCTGGGTTCTTTTTCCAACTATTGGAATGGTGTTTGCTTGAGCAACCTGTGCTCTTCCTCTTTTCAACAGCCCACCGTGAATCTAGGTGATTGTGCGCAATGCTGCTTCCTCATCTGGTGGGCAGTTCCCTCATCCTGTACCTCTGCTGTCCCTCACCACAGGAGCACAAGCCCTGCTCGAGCCTGCTGGGGGGTGGCACTCAGGTCACTGCCTGCACTGTCTGCAGCTGGGAGCTCAGTCACTCCTGAGAGCTCCACGAGGCCCAGGTGGAGGAAGTAGCTCAAGTCTGCTGTGCATACAAAAGGCAGGGTCTGTGGGCTCCTCCGTGGCTGCAAGTAACTGTCCTTCAGAGAGGTGGGCTTGATTTATGGTAAGCTCACATTTTCCCACACATTTTCTTTAAGAATTAGCATTTTGGCAGTTTTTGGTTTGTGATGTATTTTGCTTTGTTTTGAGACAGGGTTTTGCTGTGTAGCCCAGGCTAGTCTTAAACTCAGGATGATTCTCCTCCTCAGCCTCCTAAGTGCTGGGATTATATGCATGCACCAGCATAGGAGTTGTTACTTTAAATCATGGGTAAGAAAGCACTAACTGTATTATGACCAGCAGTCACAGGCAATGATGCGGAAGGCAGGAACCCAGCCCATCTACACAAGTACAGGCAGTGTCCAAGAGCCATGTGGAAGGGCTGCCCAAAACTTGACATGAACCGAAGGCCAGGAAAATCCATCTGTCACACCAACCTTTAGTAATCAACCAAGGTAACTCAACTTCCAAAGCTTCATTTCAGTCTCAGATTCCGTATCTGTTTGCAGAGATGCTCCACAAGGAGCTTACGTATCTTGGACATTTAGTATTGTGCCTGACACATGGTAGGCTTTGAAAAACATCTGTGGAATGATTAAGTCAGATTCAGTGGTAAAGCCCACATGAACGGAGATCTCACCATAAGGAATGTTGTTCACCATGACAGCAATTCTAAAATTCACTCAAAGTTCTGCCATTTCCCCTTTTTTGGGAGGGGGTGGTTTGGTTGTGCTGTGACCTAGGGATTGAACTCAGGGGCACTGAACTAGATCCTCAGCCCTTTATATATTTATTTTTAGATAGGCTCTCACTAATTGTCCTGGCAAGACTAGAACTTGTAATTCTCCTGCCTCAGCCTCCTTTAGCACTGGGATTACAGTTATAATTTCTTCTTCTAGGATTAGGAAGACACAAATGGACCAAGATTTCTGAATCTACCATAATTAAAAATTATCTGGGCCCTAATGTCATCAAGAAAGGAGATCTGGAAAACCACAGAGTAATTATCAAATGCAGGAAAGTCTGCTGCTGCGATTCTATTATCTAACATACAGTCCACAGTCACGTCTTGCCAGTTACCCCAACACTGTCTTTCGCAGCCACCTTCTCTCCCCTGCTAGGACCCCTCCCAGGGTCCTGGGCTGCAATTAGAGGCTAGGTCTCGCCTGCAATCTTTAACCTGGGACACTCACTAGCCTTTGTCTTCCACAATGCTGACAATTGCAGTCCAACACACACAGAGGACAAGAATGTGTTGGAGACCCAGCCAGAGGGCAAGAGATACAACCTTCAGGCAGCTGTGTCTTTGCAAACCAAAAGCCTAACCCATACAGCTGACAACTTTCCTACCAGACAGAGCTAGAGGCAGGTAAGCATGCTAGCCAAAATCTGCTTTAAATCAGAGGCGAGATTTATTTCAGCCTTACAAACAATCAAATAATCAGCCATTTCCAACCAAGTAGGAAAGGACTCGCACTATATAGGATTAAGCTGAAATAACTTGCTAATCTTTTTGGAAAAAAAAATTTCACAGGTTCTATCAAAATTGCAGATGGATAAACAAACATTAACTGCAGAAGAATACAACACATATATACTATATGTATATATTATACTAGTATGTACTCATGCATGTATATAAATAAATAATTTTCTGGAAAGATATTTAGAAACTGCTAACAGTAATTCCCTCTGGGGAAGAGAATTGGGTGGGAAATTATAATCTTAATTCTAATTTTCTACCTTCACATGCCATCTGAATTTCTTCCCCTCTGTATCACTTCTGTGAATGTCAACTTCAGCCGCTGAACAGGCCGTTCTTGGTTTCTTCTACTGCAGCTCAGAAAATGATACCCAAACAATGCCACTTTGGATTGGGAAGGAGTAACTGCCAGGTTTCCTCCGAGTTCTCCTTCCCTACCTAAAGACCCAGATCCACCAAAGAGGAACACAGTCGCCTTTAATCTTCTTACTAAAGTGCCTCTGATGGAGGAAGATTAAATTCAGATCACAGGGGAAGAGATGAAAATCAAACATCACACCCAGAGCCCAGAGGCACTTTGCCCCACTCATTCTCTCCCGTGAAAACCACTTACCCCCCCTTTAACCATCCAAGCATTTTTATTCATTAATAGTCATAAATACACACAGCAGCTTCATTAGAGATTTCCATCTTCCTCTTCAGTTTGAATGTGCAGTATTAGGAGAGCCTTTTGAATGTCAAGGTACAGGAAGTGGAGGTCATCCCTGCACTGCTACCTACATTTACCAGCTAGAAGTAAAAATTAGTTAAGTGGAAATGATTACCACATATATTTCTCTCTTCCTTTTGAATGTAAATGATGTGACAAGAGTGACAGACCAGAAATTAATCACCAAACCAACCCAAGGTGGTTGCTGTCCACTTTCACCAGCAAATACAGCACAGAGGACATTGTCTGCGAAGTGGGATGTCACCAAAGAGGAGCTGGTGGAGGCTCATTTTCTTTATTACTCTTTTAAATTGAGGTTATCTAAAGGCTTAATATCTGCACAGCGCACAGCACCACAATCTGCCACTTCTCCCCGAGCGTCCTCCTCTGGGACAGAAGGAGCTCTCGGCCCCAGGGCAGACAGGCTTCGGTCTGCTTTCCATGGACTGGCACTCTGCTTCGGACATTTTAGGATCATTTAACTTTGTTAAGAGAAACTGGGCGCTCTGGACGTCTGCTGACTGCTTTCTGTGCTTGCTCTGTTGGCTGTCGCTGCACGCTGTGATAGCGGTGGTGACGCTGCTCATGTTGGTGCTCCGGGTGCTGCAGCGCCTCCCGGGCTGCTGCCGTTCTAGCTGCAGCTGAGTCTGCAGTTGTAAGAGAGAGGAGGAAGGGCCTGAGGAATTAAGCCGTCCTCTGCAAACGTCTCAATCCTGGTAACTGAGATAGAAGCTAAGCTATAGGGTCCATGGCTTCCCTACTGCTTGGAGGATATGAACTCTTAGAAGAACAAAGTCCACCAGAAGAACTGCTAATAAGGTGCATGTTTGATCTACAAGCATGAGGACCTCCTCACCCCGGCCAGGGTGAAACATTCTGTGTACACGTTGAACACCACTCGATTCATCTAAGTCTCTGGGGGCTCTGTGTTCAAGTGTAAGATGAGCAGCAGTCATTCGTGACACGACTGGGACCGCCTCCAGGTAACGCTGCACAGCGTGGACAAATCACTTCTGCTCGTATTTCTGTGTGTTCAGAAGCGACATGTTCTTGAAGAGATGTCTCCCTGAAGCCCATTTTTCCACAATAGGGACAAGTAAAAAACTGTGGCTGCTCCACAGAGAAAGCCTCCCCACCACAGTACAAATCAAAACCCACCCTTGTTACTATGCCCTGCACTGGGCGGTCAGTTGTGTGTCTTCTTGTTGTCACAACACTTTCATAACAAGATGCACAAAGATCGCAGTCGTAGCAATTAAACACTTAAATCAGTGACCTCGAACATTTCCTTTTAAACTTGCATCACAGCTGACACCTGCACGTCAGGACATCCTAGTTCAGAGGGTGGAGTAGCCTCCCCCCCCCCCCCGTGGGCCTGCTCTCTAAAGCCAGCACAACCCTGCTCCTCTCCCCTATAAGGAAGGTAGTGAGCCTCACACATCTGGCACTTCTTTGAGTTTCACATGTGCATGTTTAAAAAATTCATCTATCTACAGCCAGTTTGTCTCAGCAGATGCGACTGTCAAGACCTCAGAGGGAAAGTCTGAACTTCCCTAAACTTCTGTACTTCTAGCCTCCAAAAAAATATTTCACAAAAAAAAAAAAAAAAAAAAAAAGAGAGAGAAGAGAAGAGAAGAGGTTTTGCAGGGCTTGGTGGTGCATGCCTGTAATTTCTGTAATTTCAGCACTCAGGATGCTCAGACAGGAGGATTACCACAAGTTAGAGGTCAGCTTCGGGTATATAATGAGTTTAAGGCCAGCCTGGACTACACATCAAGACCTTGTCTCAAAAAATCGAAACAAAAAGTTTTAAGTGCTCAGACATGAAATTGTTGACGGTACATTATGCAGCTATGAAAACATATGCTAATAGGTTTTAAAAATTGGTACATATCAAGTGAATAAAGTAATCACAAGACAGCATGTGACTAACAGTAATAAAAAAATCAGTAGTTAGCACTAAGAGAAGGAGCTGGGTATGGTGGACACACCTGTAATTCCAGCACTCAGGAGGCTGAGGCAGAAACATTGTGAGTTCAAGACCAGCCTGGGCTATCATGTGGGTTAGAGGCCACCTTGGGCTACATAAGAAAGACAGAAAAAGAAAGGGCAAGGTAAATGAGAATTTTCACATTAAGGTGACAATAACGTCCTTATTTCACAATATGTAGGAGTAGAAAAAGCTTACTATTTCAAGAACTAGGAAAGCTTAATTCACATTTGGGCTTTCTGTGTGTGTGACCTCGGGGCAGGTTGAGTCTTAGTTTATTCTTTTGAAAACTGGGACCATTTCCACCACATTGTATTTATTTATTTGTTTGTTTATTTGGGTACTGGAGATTTTTTCTTTTGGTACAGGGCTTTCCCATTGATCTACATCTCCAATCTCTCCTTTGAGATAGAGTCTCACTAAGTCACTATATTGCCCAGGTTGGGCTTGAACTTGCAATTCTCCTGACTTAGCCTCCCAGAGTTCTAGAATTACAGGTGTGTGTCCCATTCCTTGCTCCTGCTAGTTTTTTAAGTTCTCCTTGGGACTAATGAGGACCCAGACATTGGCACTGTTATTAGTAAAGAAAAGCTGGATTTAGGTCTCATTATGTAGCCCAGGGTGGCCTCAAACCCACATGATAACCCAGGCTAGCTAGGTAATGGACCTCCACCATGCATGTAGCCACCTGCTCCTTGGTATGAACAACCTTGCTAGTCTGTCTAGTCTTTTGGTTAGATATTCTCCTGGACTTTACATTAATTCCAGAGATTGTTGAAACACTTTGGTTCCACAGAATGGCCTCCTCACATAAAATCCCCACCCCACTGACTGCCCACCATCGGGCTAAGAGGGGCAGGGAAGAGCCCACTGAAGAAAACACCTGAAATAGAAATGTACACATTCTAGCCCCAAACACCTGCTCCTGAGCCCTTCAGCAGCCCTTACCGATGGTGGTCTCACAGAACTTGTCTGCAGCCACCTCGCTGGCAATGTTGGCGCCCATGAGCACACTGATGTCAATGCCCATCTTCTCACGGATGATGTCAGAAATGAGTTTCAGTCCCTCTGGGCCCTCGTCGATGCCCTAAGGATGGCAAGAAGTCAGGAGGGAAACCACCAAGCCAATGACATATACAACTCGAAAAGTACTCTTATAAGAGAAAATATATATTGCATATGTAATGTGTAAAGAACAATAAAACAAAAAGCACAAAAATACCCATTACTCAGGTTAAGAAATAGAATATGATCAATACCCAGGATCAAAGAAGAAGGAGGGGAAGAAGGCGGGGGAGGAAGAGGAGAAGGGGGACGAGGAAGAGGAGGGAGAGAGACAGAGGAGGGGGAGGGGCCATGGCGCTTATAGACTCCCTTTCAGAATTTCATGTGCATAAAACAAAACATACAATATTATGTATAAAGTCAATTATATTCAAATAGCAAAATGTTAAAAACTCCAACGGATAATAAAGTAATAGACATACCATTTTATTTATGTACTTAGAAAAAGATGAAATCGTGCATCTAATGATTCCCATAATTTCCAGGTATTAATGAACATGATCTAGAGCCATCTGAAACTACTGTGACATGATATGAAAGTTCCTGTGCCTGTAACTGACAAAGAAAGGGTCACAGGTCCTGCTAATATTACTGTTACTGAAACTCTGGCTCTGGCTAACATTCAAAAGTGAAAGAAATGTCTGCTTCAGTTAGAGGTTAAAAGGAATAAAAATGCAAAGGTCACCCCTCTCCTCAGCAATTAAGTGCATGAAACCCTGGAGGCAATTTGAGGTCTTCTGATTTTCAAAAGCTCGAACTCGAGTGCATATATCCAGGAGTGGGAATTAATGCTGGTTCATTTTCCAGCTGATGCAAACCACCGGTAATTTCGACACAGGCTGAACCCCACTGAGGGGGAGACAATGTTCTGAGAGCAGCTCACCCTCGAATCTCCCACATCCCTGCAATGCTGGCCTGATGCAACAGGAAGTGGTCTCTCTTCTGGCTCTAAATTGACCTAAATTAGGCTTGTGGGATTTATTTACTACTTTCTAGACATTTTTAAAAACACAAACAAAATAGCTGGGTGTGGTGGTACACACCTGTAATCCCAGCACTCTGGGAGGCTGAGGCAGGAAGATCACAAGTTCAAGCCCAGCCTGGCAATTTAACAAGATCCTGTCTCAAAAAAAAGGGCGGCAGTGCAGGGCTGGGGATGTAGCTCAGTGTAAAGGCTCCAGGTTAGATCCCCAGTACTAGGAAAAAAAAATACCCACAAACAAACCTCCTCTCTAGCTCCACCTATCAAGCTGATGAGAGAGGGAATGAAATTTGCCAGCAATCGATGTCTACTGACGTGTTGTGCCTGATCTGCGCAGGAGTTACCTTGATGAGGGTGATTCCCAGCGCTTTCTTGGGCACTCTGCCAGTGATCTCATCGCAGATTCTATGAATGAACTGGTGTGGGATGACGAACACCAGCAGATCCGCATCCTGCACAGCCTCGCTGAGGTTAGAGATGGCAACCTGTAACCAAGGGAGGGGAGAGTTACTCCTGTGTCTGTGTGGAGTCATTCAGCCCCTCAGGCAGGACTGCTGCCAGGGACTGCCAAACCCCAGCCCCTCCCCTCGAGGAAAAGCACCTCTAAGCTTCTTTTCAACAGCTATCGCTTATACTCAACCGTGCAACTTTGGTCACATTCCGGGGATGGCCCTTCACTTGTTCAAACCAACGGGCTCATCAAACAACGAGAGCTATCATAAAGAAACCAGCAGGAAGATGCTTGCTGGGGCTTCTGGGTTACAGATATCTCCTTCCTCTTCTGTGGTGGCTTTTTGTTGAACAGTGTGGGTGGAGTTTGGAGCTAGTGAAACCCCTGCAGAAATGTGCGGGGAGAGCCTACACCAACAGGCTCCACGTGGATAACGCTAACTTCGTGGAAGGCAGAGGAAAAAGCAGGGACTTGTCAACATCATTTAAACCAATGCACCTGAAACCAGCCCTACCTGGATTTTTAATTATACGAACCCAAACATTAGCTTAGCTTACATGGTTTATAAACAGTCATTGCACACACTGCAGATCACAACCCAAAGGCTGGCATTTCTCCAAGGCAGGGAAAGCTGGTTTCCTCTTCAGGGGGTTTCTCCAGATTGGCCGTGTAGGCTGAGCAGCCACTGTGGGGAGGGTTTATTACTAACGTTGGGGCTCAGAATATGATACCCCCAAGTGAAGGCCTCAGAATCAGCCTCCCTAACCTCTTAGTCTCTGCTCATCCCTCCTTTCCCTATCCCCACTTCTACAGGAGCCAGAGAAACTAGAATTCCTCCTCCCCAAAGCAAGAAAGGCATGAAGGTACACATGCATAGTCCCAGATACTCAGGAGGCTGAGGTGGGAGGATTTCTTGAGTCCAAGAATCAAAGCCAGCCTGGGCAACTTAGGAGATACTTTTTTTTTTTTTTTGTACTGAGGATCAAACTTGGGACCTTGTGCTTTCCGAAACAGGTGGTGGAACCATTGAGCCAAATCCCCAGCCCACTTAGGAGATTCTTTAAAAAAAAAAAAAAGTCCAGAAAACAAAACCTCTTTCCCAAGGCAAATTATGGACCTCAGAATACCCTTTCCCCCAAAGCCAGCCATACATCCTAAATATGCTAGTCTAACTTTCCCCTACCTTTCTAAGTTGGCCATAAATAAATTCCCAATCGACTTTGTCTGGAAGTATGTCTGCTGTGGCCTATATCTAATGTCTCCAAAGCCTCATGGGGTCATAGGTGAGGCATTTCAGAGGTGCCTGGAGTTTGGCTCCACTTTGCCTCTCTGCCATGATGCTCCTTCCTCAGAGCCAGCAGACCCTGGTGTGAACCTCTGACACTGAGCTAAATAATCCCTCCTCCTTTAAATGGTGGGTGCTGGGTGTTCTGTCCCAGCAACAGGAAAGCCAACAATACACTGCTCTGCATCACTAGCACACTTTTACTAGTCCTCTGGCACCTGGAGTCTCTACCCTGCCACAAAGCAGTTCCTTATTTTTTCCCATTAACTTCCCACCTGACTCATGATCTCCCTGCCCACCTGGTCCTCACTGGCAAGGCTCACCGCACTCTCAGTCTTGCCTGTGGTCCTTCTCACCCAGTGGCCTTTGTAAGGACTCTGACACCTCATCTCCCTGTGTGTCACTACTATTGCTTAGGTAGATGTCTGTGCTCCCTACTCTGATTCTTATAGGAAGCCTGGCAGCTGGAACTTTGATTAAACCTGTGTCCTTGGGCCTGCTTTTTTTCCCCAAATTAGTGCACACACGCGCGCGCGCGCACGCACACACACACACACACACACACACACACACACACACACACACACACACACACACCGCCCTCCCTTTCTTCCATTTCAGGGTATTTTCAAAATGGTGAAATGGAAATAACACCAGAATCTAAAGGAAAAGACGTAAGTGTGAAGGTGTGAGTCCATACCTGCCTCTGAATAGCTGTGACTCTTATGTCACCTTTGCAAGTGACTTAGCTTCACTTACCTACCTCAGTCACTCTCTACAGAAAATGGGGATAAGAATTTGCTTTCCTACTTAGCTACTTCACAGAGCACTTTCCAAATAAGCCAAATACTGATAGTGTTTTGAAACCCAAAGACTTTAACAAATGAAAGGGATTATTTACCAGAAAAACTGAACTGCCTAGTATAAACTCTTAACATTTAAGAAGTTAAGCCGGGCGCAGTGGCACACGCCTGTAATCCCGGCACTCGGGAGGCTGAGGCAGGAGGATCGCTGTGAGTTTGAGACCAGCCTGGGCTACACAGTGAGTTCCAGGTCAGTCTCAACTGCATAGTGAGACCCTGTCTCAAACAAAACAAAACAAAAAAAGTCAACCCATTCCCATATCCCTTGTTAAAGAACTTTCTAGCTGGTCAGATTCTTTCCTGTCGCTTACATATTCCTCTTCAATAAATCAAAGAAAAACCTGCAGGTAAAAAAACCTTCAAGGCAGTGTGATTGTGGGCTCAACAGCATGCAAAGGTGACCTTTTATCGGCAGAAGCAATTGCATAATGCAATTTAAACTCCATTTGTGTGGCACACGCAGTGCATTCACAGAACATTATTTCTCTTACATAGTATCAGAACAAGTTTTCTTCAACTAACAAAGTAATCTGAATCTCATCTTTCAGAATAAGTCTTTTGGCTAAGCCTGCACACTACCTTTCTGCTCTGAAAAGAATCAAAACACTGCTTTGGAAATACAGACCAATTTTGTGAGCTTCTTACCTAAAAATTTTCTATGGATGTCCATCTCTTAAGATCCAGAAATATGCCAGCAAAGATAACATAGATCAACAGGGCTTGCCTTACAAGAGCAAGCAGGACAAATAAATCAGAGATGGTTGGTTAATGCTCAGACTTTCAGGAGTTCAGTGCTCTGGATCCAAGTTAATTAAAACTCAATAATGAATAAACATCATTAGAAACAAACTGATAAAATCTGTGGATAAGCCCAATGGTTCTTTTATGTCATCCGTAATAGGGCAGGGTGTGTCCTCAACAAGCTTCTACCTCTCAGAACAGGTGAGAGAAACCGCCCTTCCTATCCTAGTTGACTTACCTCCTGACCCTCCAAGATGCCATTTTATGGCATTTAAAGCCAAGTGAAATTTAAATGCCTTCTTCATTCATTTAAAATTATAAATTAATGCACTGGATCAAATTTGAAAAAAAAATGCAGGTAGAAAAATAAATGATCATAGTCCCAGAACTAGAAATAATCACTATTAATATTTTGATACATTTCTGTCCAGGTTCTTTTGAGCCTGTAGAAATATCTAAAATTACATTTATAGAACTAAAGTCATATTTTATGTCCTTAAAATATATAGTATTAAACGACTTTCCCTATTAATCAAATGAACACTTTTTCTACTCAAGTCCATGATCCTTAATGCACTACAAACCAGTATCATAGTAATGATAGACAGCCAATGATAATCCAAAGAAGAGATATAAATGGGGTCTCAGGACCTGTAACTCTCCATGCTGACACAATTTTGGGAGCTAACTAGAGTGGCACGGTTAAAAATGGTCTCACTGCCATGGGTCAGGTGAGAAAACCTAGCCTGGATCAGACATCTAACTGGACACAAGGATAAACTCCCCTACATCCTCTGGGGAATGAGTGTTTAGATTAAACAAAGTACTGTGAGTAAAATAAAGCAAAACAGTTCCTGAGAATTGTAGAGGCACAAAAGCATTTTAATTCCCTCTGGTACTCCTGATTTGCAGCCAGAATCATAGGTAAAATTCACATCCTTGCCTCTGTACATAGAAAAATAACTCTTAGACATCAACAACCTAATGTTGTTTTTTTCCCCCATTATGGGAGAATGAATACAGAACCTTTTGCATGGAGCTACATCTCCAGCCTTTTTTCTATTTTATTATGAGACAAGTTCTTACTAAGTCACTTAGAATCCTCTTGCCTCAGGTTTCCAGAGTGCTGGGATTATAGGCATGGACCCATACCCCAGCTTCTTATGAACAAGAACACACCACTCTCTCTAAGTGAGATTGCTTCTGGAAAACTAGCTGTTAACCACCTAGGTTCCCCAGTGATATATCAAGTAATGGCAACTTATCATGTACACCACTGGTTCTCCAAGTGTGGGCTATGGACCAGCAGCACCACTACAGCCTGGAAATTCGTGACAAATGCAGGTTCATGGGCCAGATATCCGGTAAATCAAAAGTTCCAGGAGTGGGCCCAGGAAGTCCTTATGCTATCCATGTGATTCTGGTGAATGCTAAAATTTGAAAAACACTAGTAAGGACTACTCCTATAGTGAAAATTTAAAAAGCTAAACCCAGGGAAGAAAAGAATGAATACAAAGGCTTTCCAATGAACTGGTCTTCTAATTCTCAGAAGCCTTTCAGCCAAAATTAATAGATATCATCCAAACCCTATTACCCAGAAAGAAATGGTCAATATTTTAATCATTTTGGTCTAACTTTATTTCCCACGGAATACCATCTAAAACACTGAAACAAGATTCTTCACCTGTTTTGTTCTTTGCCATTTCTACTATCTCTGGCATTTATGAAGGCCACAAATAATGCCAAGGATTACTCCAGGTGCTAAGGAAAAAAGGATACAGATCTATGAAAGAAAACATACCCAAAGAGCAGGAAAGAAATAAAGTATAAATTGGACTTCAAAATTTAAAACGTTTGCTAGGCAGGAGGATCTCAACTTCAAGTCCACCCGGGCAATTCAGTTACTTAGCAAGACCTTGTCTCAAGATAAGGAATGGCTGGAGGCATAATTTAGTATAAGGCTCTGGGTAATCTCCAGTACCACAATTGATCGATCAATAAAATAAAAAGTTTTGTGCTTCAAGGGACATTATTAAGCAAGTGACAAGATAACCCATAGGATGGGAGAAAATACTTATAAATTATACTTGAAAAGAGGCCTGAATATATAAATTCTTACAACTCAATAATAAAAAGGCAATCTAATTTTATAGATGGGTAAGGGATCTGAATATATATTTCTCCAAAGGTGCAGAAATGGTCAATAAGCACATGAAAAGACACATAATGTTGTTAGCCAAGTGGCAAATAAAGTTTAAACCATTCATAGAACACCATGTCACCCCACTAAATGGTTAGGATTAAAAGGCAGATAATAACAAGTGCTGATAAGGATATGGAGTAATTGGAATCCTCTTATACTATGATGGAAACTAAAACAATGTGGCCATTTTGTAAAATAATCGGGCTATTCCTCAAAAAGTTAAACACAGAGTTATTGTAGGGCCTAGAAGTTTCTCTCCAAGGTTTATACTCAAAAGAATGGAAAACATACATTTTCACAAAATATTGTTCATGAAGGTTCAAAGCAGCATTGCTCACAACAGTGAAAAATCCGAAACTACCCAAATGTCCATCCACTAATGGACAAACAAAATGTGGTACATTCACAATGCTAGGGTTGAGAGCATGCATGCAGTCACTGGAAGCCTGAGTTCCTACACAGTGGCGTTGGGGGGTAAGGCCTAGTGGAAGGTGACTAGGTCATGGAGGCGGGGCATCACAAAGGATTAACGCTGGTATCATGGGAATGGGCCACCCACTGTGCAAGGGTTACTATAAAGCAAGTGCCCCTCACCTTTACCTTATTCTGACGTAGCATGAAGGCCCTCATCAGATGATGCTGTTGTGCTCCTGGACTCCCCAGCCTTCAGAAACATGAGCTAAATAAGTTTCTTTGCAAATTACCCGGTCTATAGTATATTCTGTTATAGCAACAGAAAATGGAATAAGGCTCATGCAATAGGATACTATTCAGCCATATGCCACAAAATGGTCAAGAATGAAAATATGCTAAGTGAAAGAAGCCAGTCACAGAAGACCACATATTGTGTGATGCCATCTATTATGGCTTTTATCTAGCTGCCACCCCACCAAAGACTCATGTGCTCATAGGTAGGGCTTTTCAAAGATGGCTGGATCTAGGGTGTGTGAATATGGATTATGTATGTGTTATAAATGGATTAGCCCACTGATTAAATTAGTGGAGTTCTGGGTGTGGCTCAATGGATTTAATGAAGACAAAAGATACATCCTGGATGTGAGTGGCATTAAATAACAGACTGTAGCCTGTATAAAAAGAGAAAGCAGAAAGAAGGCCACTGCTTCCTACCAGCTATGCTATGGACTGTTTCTCCTCTACCATTTCACTCTGCCATGCCACTCTGCCTTGGAGCCAGATGACTATGGACTGAAACCTCTGCAAATTGTGAGCCAAAATAAATGTTTCCTCCTTTAACTTGTAAGTATCCAACATTTCATCCCAGCAGCAAGAAATAACTGCATAAGACACCAACTACTATATATGAGATATCAAGAACTGACCAATCAGGCTTGTGACGTAGCTCAATGGTACAGCATTTGCCTAGTATATATGAGGCCATAGGTTTGATTCAAGTGCCCAGAGGAAAAGGAATAAGCAAATCTAAGGAGCTGGAGAACAAATGGGAAAATCAAAGGTGACTACTAAAGAATAAAAGTTGTTTTTGTGGGTAACAAAAATGTTTGAAAATTGACTATAATGATAGTTGCACAGCTATATACAAACATACAAAATGAAACAACACTGGATCAATTAGCCCACGGATTATATCATAGTAAAACAAGTTTTTTAAATGATGGCAGAGCTCAGAAGACAAGGATAAGAGGCAATGGCAACAGTATTTTATAGAGAATGCTGTGTTCATAAATCCTATTGTCACAGTGAGGCTGGTAAAAGCTGGAGCAAAAAGAAGAGCCTCTATCTGGATGAGCTCTAAACACAGGCTCATGATACAGAGCCATATAGAAGAATCAACAATCTTCATCTTGCAATGACAGGAAATAACAAATGCTCTTTCCATTCAGGTCTAAGGGGAAATAAAAAACTCAAACCAGCCCTGTTTTCAGTGCACAGTCAAGGACAGTGGTAAAGTCATTGTTACAGAAGGTTCCTGCAGGGGAAGGGGTCACATGAAAGTGAACCTGAGGAAGGGTCAGGTAAACAGCAGTATGGAGGCTCCAAACAGAAAAGAATCATTGTCTTAAGTCAGCACATTAATAGACAAATATTATAAATGGCAACCTCGTATTGACAGAAATGCATGCCTTTCCTCCTGGAATTCACATGAATAAAAATGGTTAAAATGTAGCATTTTAGGTGGTTAGCAGAAGTTTGGGTAGAAGATTGAATTTCCTGTGGACACAACCAAGTAGTTCCCAGGAGCACTGTCCATAACAGCAAAAAGTTGGGAATCACTCAAGTGTCTACTTCAGAGAATGAATATATTCATTTTCATGAACCTATAGGCTTTGGACATCACTCGGGTCTTGGGAGTGGACTTTTTCTTCTTTCTCTTCCCCCTTCTGTCTGTTGGTAGTGATGCTGTACTTTGGCTTCTCATGTTGACTCCTCCCCGTCACGGTCCCTATGGACAGCACGGGTTTGAGCATCACAGAACCACTCAGCAGAGCCACTTCCTCTGACAATGCTTGAGTCAAGTGTAAGAAGAGCACCAGGCTAGGTACCACTGGTACCTAGAAAGTTGGAAAGAACTAGAAAATCAGGGTCACTGGAGGAGGGCAGGTAGAGGCAGGCAGGCAGATGCACAGGGGATTGTCACAAAAGGACATCACAAGGTATATGGTTTATGGAAGACAAGGAAAAACTCTGATAAAAAGAAAAGCTCAGAAGAATTTCTACCCCAAGGATGAAATAGCAGTGGCCCACTCTGAAAAAAAGAAAAGCTCAGAAGAATTTCTACCCCAAGGATGAAATAGCAGTGGCCCTGGATGCCTTTTATTTCCATCAGACATTTAAACTAACTTCCAAATTCATAGTCCTAGGGACCGTTCCTTCACCCCACCAAATATACCTTTAGAGTGCAACTGGGGGCAAATGCTGGCTCACTTTCCTTCAGCAACACAGAGGAGAAAGTGATTAATTAGAGGCCAACAAATTCAGCGGGTCTAGGAATGAGCCCATCAGGAAGCAAATCCCACCACAAGCCCTAGCTATGGGACCTTGGGCAAGTCCACTTGTTTCCTCCCCTCTGCAGTCATAATCATCATTACAATAGGAAAGCTAACACTATTGACCTAAGAGGGTTGGTGATGGGATTAAATGGATAATGCTTAAATGGATGCACTGCTTGGCACTAACACAGACTGTATTGTTAAAGACCAAATAAAAATCTTCAAGAAGCTAGGCCTTGGTATCTCCAACTTCCCTGCATGTGTTGGCTTACAAACAAGTCTCTGAGCTTGACTCTTTGAGGAAAGCAATATCATCAACTCCCTTTTTCCCCAGCACCCAACACTGTGCTTTGCATGCACAGGACATGCTCATGAATGCCTGGTGAAATGCAGCAAATGGTATTTCAATAGCAAAGGAGGTAAGTTTCTCAGGTAACCCACAGGCATCAGACAGACACAGTGGTCTTGTTTTCAAATGGACTATTGCAGAAAGCCCCCAAGAGGTGAATCTGGCAACAAAGTTCATAAATTCTACCCAGACATGCAGCAGGGCATATACCTATTTCATTCTCCATGCTCGTTTCCTTTTTCCTCTACAAATCAGAAGACCAAGGACAGGCAATAACCTATTTTTCATGGGGCTGGGGATTTAGCTCAGTGGTTCTGCTACCCGCCTTGCAAGCGCAAGGTCCTGAGTTCAATCCCCAGTACCAAAAAAAAAAAAAAATCTTATTAAATAATCTATTTTTCT